CACAATTACACAATATGAAACTACTCTCCCACTTCCCCTGATGGCGTCCGGAAGATGTTCGGCACCCCCCCGCGTACTGTTTTTTTACACACAGGATTCCCCGGAGTTGGGTTTTCGCTTGTGTTTTTTTCTAAAATGCTGCTCTCGCTGAGGCGCTGGCCTAATTTTCGGGCTCCCGCTCCTTCCGAATCGTGTTCCCGCTGCAGCGCTGGCCTCATTTCCGCGCTCCCGCTCGTTCCGAATCGTGCTCCCGCTGCAGCGCTGGCCCAATTTCTGCGCCTCTCGTTGTTCCAAAACGTGCTCCCGCTGCAGCGCCGACGTTTTCGATCCTTTTTAAGAAGCCCCAAATCTAGAAAATGATCCCCGGCAAAAACATTGGAGGTGATTACACATCCGGTGTCGATTCGTTGATTTTTGGGGCCGCAGAAAGCCCCCCCCCCTTTTGGGCGGCGTCCTTTTCCGCACAGGATTCCCGGGAGTTTGGTTTTCATCTATGTTTTTGAAAATCCGAGTCTTTCCGGTCCTTCAATCCGGGTGGGGGACGCGCGTAACGGCAGCGGGCAGCTGGCGCGGGTGCCGCTCCGGCGCGGTCGCGTCGTCGTCGTCGTCGTCTTCGTCGCCGGTCGTCCTCATCGTCGTCGTCGTCGTCGTCGCCGCCGTCGTCGTCGTCGTCGTGGTTGTCGTCGTCGTCGTCTTCGTCGTCGTCGTCTTCGTTTTCATCGCGCCGTCGTCCTCCTCCTTTCCCTCTTAGGTAACAGGGTCAGATGCGAAGCCCGATTCGGTGAGAGGACAATGAAGTAGCTCAATGGGAAGGGATGGGAGGGAGGGGTAGGATGTCAGATGTTGACGCGAGCGCACCTAGCTTGCCTCACCCCCCTCCCCTCCCCCCCCCACCTCCCCCCGCCCCCCTTCCCCCCCCCTCCCCCCTCGACCTCCCCCCCTCTCCCACCCCTTCACCCCTTCGCCCCTTCCCCCCCCCTTCCCCCCCCCCCTTCCCCCCCCCTCACCCCCTCACCCCCTCACCCCTCCCCCCCCCCCACCCCACCCCCACCCCTCCCCCTCCCCCCCCTTCCCCCCCTTCCCCCCGCCAGGCAAAGGTCGGGGAGTTCGAGTCGAAGCCGCCGACAGCGGTTGCGGCTCAGCACAGGGTGGAGAACGCCAAGAAGAAGATCGAGCGCCTCGACGCGAGGCTCAAGCAGTACCGGGAGCAGCAAGAGGAGCTCGACAAGTCGATCAACGAGACGCCCACCTTCCTCGCGGATGCGAAGTCCGAGCTTGAGCGGCACACGAAGATGTTGCACAAGGTCACGCTCGAGGAGGCAGCAGACCCCCTGCAGGCAGGGTTCGCAGGACTGGATCCTTCCGTGGCTTCCTCGACTGAGGGCAAGCAGGCGCTGGACGTGCTGCGGCGCTTGCAGGAGGCCGCCAAGGCGCAGCAGGCCTCAGCAGCGCAGGCTCCTGCCGGGGCTACTGGGGCTCCTCCTGGCGGCGGCGCAGGCCCTGGGGGTGCTGTTGGCGCTGGTCCCCCGCAGCAGCCTGGAGGAGGAGAGCGTGGTTTCGCCAAGATGGAGGAGGAGGATTTCGACGACGAGGACCTCCACCAGGGCATCAAGCGCCTCATGGAGGCTGG